CCCCAAAACCCCAAAACCCCAAAACCCCAAAACCCCTCTAACTACTTCACTCCTAAAACCTCATATTTCTTATAAAAATAAAATAAAATCTTAAGCATGGGAACATCGAACACCACCCCCACCCAAAAGCCGCCCACCTGCTGTTCCAAAGACTGAAAAATCAAGCCTCTAGCCTTATTGCACACTGACGGAAGCTACTTCTGCCTAAGACACATAGCTGGCACCAAAGAAGAGGACAAGATCGAGTACTTGCACTCCCTCGACCACCAGGACGTGAACTTGATCGGCCAAGTGGAGGCAGAACTAGTGAAGACGTTTAAGCAGACACGAAACCAAGGCGACCACGAGTTTAGTGATATTTGTGATAGAGTTACAGAAGAGCTCGAGAAGAATTTTATGGATCTAAGGAAGATAGTACAAGATTACATTTCCAAACCGAGATGTCAGAATTATTTTAGTAATGAGAGCAATTTAGGAGAGAATCATGAAGACTGAGTGAAGAGTGGGGAAAATGCTATTGATAGATATTTTGATTCAGAAACATTGCTGAAGCTTGCATATGTGACACAAGAAGAAATTGGAAGAGTTTTTATAGCTCCAAATGAAAATTTCCAAAAGGATGATAATGAGATTATGCCTTATTCTTGACAGAATAAAGTGAGAAAAACTCTCTGCATACTGTATCCTAAAATACAGAAAATGTGTTCTCAAGGCAAAGATTCTGAATACTTCAGTCTTATCAATCCTTTTACTAAACTTTGGGAATATTCTAGAACTTCTCAAGATCTCCAACAAAATAACAAGGAAGGTCGAGATATCCTAAATTCTCCAAAATATGTTGGTAAAATCCTGAAAGATAAAAACGTTTTATCAAAGATTTGTGATCATAAAGGCTGCTCAACTAAATCATTCTGCTACATTCCTGGCTTAAATTGCTATTTCTGAATTAATCATTGTATTTCTCCCTGAAAAGACACTTATCCAAAACTGTATCTTTATAATAATTTTAGAAAAGCAGATTTAGATATCATTAAAGAAATAGGTTTAAAAGTTGAAGAATATACCTACTTTTTCAAAAGATATATGAAAACTAAATGTGATGAGTTGAGAGATAAGTCTCAAGAACATGGATACCTGTATTCAAGTCTAGTAGTTTTAACAATTTTTCATAACATCAATACACACATCAAATCTCTTGGTGATAAGATTTTACATGCTTCCAAGGAAATAAGATTTCAGCAGAGGATTAATTCAGAAATAATTAATGAGATTTCTAATGATGATAATAATAAGAACTCATTGTGGGATCTCTTATCATGGGATGAAATTAATGCAAACTTGAATGGTCTTGATCTTCCTAAGGTTCAGGATTTTAAACAATATCTTGATCCACAAACAACGATTAAATTAATATTTATGACTCAAGCACATGTTGAAGACATGTTAAAACTTGAGTTAATTCCTTATTTTATGAAAAATATTGTTAGAGCTTGCTCTTTGGAGGTGTTTTACCTGATTCAATGATACTATGAAAATATAGATTCCAGTCTTGACTCTCACTTCTTCATTCTGTTCTGTAAAGCTATTGGAGATTTTGAGCTTCAGAAAGATGTTCTTAAATATGTAAAATTGTTAAAACTGAATTCAAGCTCATTGAATATTATTATCATACTAAACTTATTATCTCAAAATTTATTGAATATCAACACTTATCAGAGCTAAGACATTTTCTAAAGAAACCACAGAAAATTTATGATGGAACTTCTTTGCGCTTTCATATCCCAAATGTTTTCACAATATATCAAAACTCTTGGCAAATAAAATTCCCAGATGATTCTGAACTTTTTGTGAAGACCTCTAAAATAGACAAAGAGTCTGATTTCTCTAGATTCCGAAAATAAAAATTATAGGGAAACAGTAAATAAAATGTCAAATAGGACCTTCAAATGAAATCATTATGAGGACTGTAATAATATTTCCTTCTACATTCTACCTGAAGTCTGTAAAACTTTATGACTTCCGCACAGATTCGATGAGCCATATCGCCATTATTCTAAGTTTGAACCCTTGTACAGGTTTACATTTAAGAAGCTAGCAGATGTTGTTGATGTTCTACAACAGCATCATTTTCCTTCTTATGCTTATGAATCCAGCCATTATAAAGATATTGATAAGCAAGAAGCTGTTTATGAAATTAAAATTTTTTGATATCGTTATAGCTTCATAATAAGTGAGATTATTTCAAAGTGATATTCACATCGCTTAGACTTGAAAACAAGAATAGGGAGCAACAATTCAGATCATGGAGCACATAGTATTTTTATGAGATTCTCAAACGATAAGGAATTAATTATTCTTTCAAAAATATTAAATGCACAATACCTTAATAATATTGAAGATAGTTTTGAATTTCAAGATAGAGCTCTTAAAATACAGATTTTTCGAGAAATAGAAACTAAAGATTTTCATATAAGTGATCATGATCCGGATAAACAAAAGAAATTTGATAGAGTGATTAAGTATTTAAAAAACAATACAATTTACAATGAGAATACAGACAAGCTAAAAGAATTAAATCTACGCTATGTTAAAGATGATTACTGGAAATCCTTTTCTTTCAGACTAAACCAACAAGACAATCCACTTTTGAGGAATAGAAGAAATTCATTGAATATTTACCAATCACAAAATTGAAAACCCTTAATAAAAGTAAAAGAATGATCTCAAGAGTCAGAGACTAAAATTCTCCAGACAGATTTGAAGCAAAACTGAAATACTATAGTCCCAGCTTGTGAAAAAATATCTGAGCTTAAAGAAGATTCATTTTCAAAAGTTGAATGAGAAAGGTTAACAAAATCACCAAATATTAGCAAAGAAGTTACTAAAAACAATAAAATTGAAGAATCAAAGAATTCTCTAGACAATGAAGCGCAATTAGGACTTGGAGATATTTGCCCCGATAGTTCTAGCTCACAATCTATTTGCACCTCGAGTACAAATAGTATGGTATTCAAGGTTCTGGATTTACCTCTGTCCCTAGACACTGACAAAAGACTCAAGGAGTCAGAAACCAGCCATAAATCTGGAGATGATTATTCTGAAGTATCGAGATTAGGAAATATTGATCCATCCAATTCAGAGAATGCCTCCCAACAAATAGGTGAAAAATATGGTCCTGAAGAAATTAGAGAAATGGTGTCTGAGATAAAACAGAGAGTTATAGAGCATAGAAAATATTGATGGCCTCATAGATTCATTTCATTATCTCATTTCATTCTCAGCAAAATGCTTATTGATCTTGAACAGGGAGGGCCTATTTCTTCCTTGATTCCTGAATATGATTGCTCAGACCCTGTAGAATGCAAACAACTGTTTTCCTTATGATGAGATCCTTTTAGTTATAATATGAATAGTCTACTTATTGATTTCGGTTTTGATAGGACTCTTGAAGTAGTATCCCAACTTAAGGCCAGAATAGCTTCTTTCGAAAGACTATATATGTACCGAGTCCTGAAAGATAATGCTGATATAAAGAAGTTACTGTCTCACTACTTCTCAGAAGAATGAGACTCTCTATGGTTTAATTTTTCGAGTACAAAGCTAATAAATTTTAGTTATTATCATGAAGCTTTCCTTCAAGCAATCTCAAGAGTTAACGAAGAAGTTTCAATTTACAAATGAAGCCTGACTCAAGATGAAATGATCAATGCTATGGTAAAAGGCAAGAGTCTCCATACTTTTAAATTTAGTTCTTGAGAACTCGATCTTGATTCAGTCCCAAAATTTGGAAATTCTTTGAAAGGTTCGAAGATAAAATGATTTTTGCTTAATTGGATAGATTTTTCTCAGGATATTAAAAAACTACAGAACTTTGTAGAAGGAATGGCTCAGTCTGAAGGGTTTCTTGACAATTTACAAGAGATTGATCTCAGACATTGTAAAATTTCTGAAGAGCAAGTAAATGAAATACTTGGAAAATACATTGACACACAAAACTTGAAAATAATTTGCAAAGATGATTAAATTATATAGTTGAATTGGTTGTTTTCAATTCTCAAAGAAATTCGGGGTTTTGGGGTTTTGGGGTTTTGGGGTTTTGGGG